CCCATGGCAAACCAGCAAGGCCCACCTTCCTCTTGGGTGTATCACAGTGTGACTCTGGGAAGACAAAGCTCATCTAAAGCTTCTCTTTCCCATTTACAACGGGAGTGGTACCCGCAGCCCCGATGCTCTGAGACCATTGCAATAATTCTTCCTGCTACTTTATCTTGTGTAATCCTTAAACTCAAACTGTGCTGAGATGCTCCGACATTGCATCCAGCACCAAGCTGTGCTCCCACACCAGACTGGGATCTCGGACCTTGCTCTACCGCTGACTCACAGCAGAAATCTCAGTGCCTCAGTTTACTCATTTGTAAAATAACTGCAGAGGTCCCACAGGAGCTGTAAGGCTCATCTCTGGTTCTGGAAAGCCTGTGGAGATCCTTCAGCTATGGGCTCTAGCAGAGGTGGGATGTACTGTCATCACTGGGATGTACTGTCATCACCACCCACATCCCAGGGCGGGTGACCTGGAGACGCACGGGCAGAGGATGCCAGCCTGCCACTCCCTGCCTGTCGGAAGGGAAACTCGCCTTGACTCCTCATTCCCCTGCTCTCAGCTGCCTGCAAGCGGCTTTTCTCACCACGCTGGAGCCCTTCAAGCTTTGGACAATTCTCAGGCGTGTTACTATACAAAATAAAACCCTTTTCAGTAGCGATGAGCCAGAAATGATTGCAGAGAGGAAACAGCTGATCTCCTGCGCTGCCTGATAACCCTGGTGTGCGGGTGGCCACCGGCAGCATCTGTGCCTCCCGGGACACCGAGCCAAGAGATGCTGCACCTCTTCCCCCACCGCTTTCCTCGCAACTGCACTGCGATTTGTGCTAACCCAGAAAGGACCCTCGAGTTTAAGGTGGCTCTCAGTAGAGGCATTTTGAGACGGTGGCTTTCTGGGGAAAGCATTCCTTAAAATACAGCTCTTTCCTTCTGCCTCACCCCCAGCTTTTGACGTTTTAGAGCACCAGAAAAATAAAATGTTTCAAAAATCTAATTTTCAGCTTCGGAGGCACAAAACCTAGAGGCAGGCTGCGGGTAGGAAGAGCTGGTTTCCAAGCCCCCAGGCGGGAGATGAAAAGAGCAGCAGCGGCTGCGTACAAGGCACTTTCGGAGGGCGAGATCCATCTCTGGAGTGGGAAGCGACTCTCGCACCCTCCGTGGCAAAATCTGCTCGCTGCCTTTCGCTCAGCCCAGGAACCAGACCCCTGGGGTTGCAGGATGATGGGCTGAGTATTATTTTGCAGGCAGTGCTTGCCTGTTCTCCAGCTCCCAGGCCTCTAGTGGCTTCTCCCCCCCTGCCTCCCTCTAGGAATTTCACATGGAAATGGCTGTCAGGAGTGACAACATTAGGACTGGATTACCATGGGCATCCATCCCCTGCTGCCACAAACCTAAGGGCACGACACTCTGTCACACCCCTGAGTTACACAACTTTGAGATGGGGGAAAGCAAAACGCTGCCCTAAGAGCGAGGAAGAGCAGCAGCTGCTGGGCTCCAAATTTCCCAGTCTACGAAAAAATCAGCACTGGGATTTTTTTCAGCAAAGAAAGGAATTTAGATTGCCCACATCCGACACAGGGAAGATCCCTCAGGTTTATGTGAAATTTTTTGTTTGAGTAGGGAAAAAGGCATGTTTGGAAGCAAAGGGGGGGATCGGTGCAGAGCCCATGGGGCAGCAGCTGCAGGGTGGTAGCGAAAGCTGAGGTGGGACCAGCGAGGTGCCCGCTCACTGCTGCCGGGATGGAGACAGGGGCAAATTAAAGCAATTAAACTAGGGAGGTAAATGGAGTTGTAAGACCTTTTAAGGCTGCTCTCTAGGCAGATGAAATATAGTCATTTTGTGTGAAAAAATACTTGACATTTCTCCAAAGGAGGGCAAGCTGCAAGAGGGAGTTGTCTAACACTGGAGATACGAAAGGGACTGCAGTCTTCATCTGTCCTTGGCAGTCTGAATGCTGCTCTCTCCATCTCCGACTCTCACATCGGTGACCCAACTGGGAAAACACTGAGGATGCTATCGGAGAGAGAACTGCTCGGGAGGAGCACACCCGCCTCTGCTGTGCCTTCTGGTGTGCATGTGGAGAGATGCTGTCCTGATTAAAAAAAATCTGGCAGTGTCACTGCTTGTCCCCCTGGGACGTGGATCATGGCCACAAACCAGGTGCAACCATTAACGCTGCTGTAAAATGAGCTCTTCATCCCACTCACATCGCACTAGCAAAGGCAAAGTGTCCTGAACAGGCTTCAGTCCGAGGACAAAGCCCTTCAGGCCATGCTTGCTGTCTTGCCAGCAGAGAGAGATGGTTCACACAGATGAGACATGGTGCAGGACAGACAGATGGAGCAATAAGAGAGTAAAGACCTCTGAGGAAGCTGAGGCTGTGGGTAAGGAGCACGATCCTGTACCAGCCCAGGAGGAGCAGCCCGGGATGAGCGGGGCACGTTGCAACCCAGAGGGGCTGCAGAAATCCACCTGGGATTAGCTGAGAGTGCTGGAGCCACTAATGAGTATCTCTGAGAGGTCACAGAGAACAAGTGAGATTTCAGAAGACCAGAAGACAACACGTTATATGCCTTTAAAAATAAAACTCGGGGAAAACCACTGAAACACATAAATAAGCAATCTATATGAACGTGCACAGAAAATAACATGGGATAAGAACCATCCGACAGGGGTTGGGACCTCTGCGGTGGGTGGATAGGAGAGGAGCAGATGGGACCCATCTTGACTTAGCAAGGCTTCAATGCTGCCTATCAGGAGACGCTCCCCAGCGTCCGTGGGCTGTGTCGAGACCTCTGCAGGGCCAGGCTTCCTCGCACAGACACGGGGTACGCTTGCTCAGTCTGCTGAGTTTAACCCTGATGAAAGGGAAGTCACAAACTCTTTGGAGAGCAAGGCTTGAACTCAAAATGGTGTTGAGGAACTGAAGAAAGAGCAAGAACTATTGCAAGAAGCAATTCATCAAGGATTATGGAATAGTGCCAAGCTTGAGAATAATCAAATGAGCAAAATAACCCCAAGAATTAGGAAATTCTTCAGAGGAAGATCTGATGGTGGAAGTGAAACTCAAACTCAAGGTGAGCAGGCAGTGCCAGGCTGTAGTGGCGTGTCTGATGTGCCCTCCGAAGCCCTTGGGTTCCTGTGGTGACATGGGCAAAACCAGGGGAAGCCTGGAAGATGGTGAGAAAAACGTTGACAACTCCAGAAAACACAGCCTTTGATGGAAACTTAAAACAAACGGATCTGTTCAGTCTAGAGGAGAGAGGACTGAGGAGACACAATAGTGGTCCAAAAAAATGAGATATATTGGGAAAAGGCTGGTGCCAGAGCAGGACAGGGCAGGATGGGGACCTGAGGGGAAAGACCTGTCAGGCGTCGCTTTAGGAGCATCCCCGCACGGGAACAGGCAGCACTGGCAGAGCTGTGCCAAGGATCCCCAAAAACAAGGGCTTAGGGAAAGGCAGTGGGGCACGTCTGCAGCCTGCCCCGTGCCCTGGCAGCCCCTGGCTCAGCGGTCTGGGATGCAAAACCCCACCCGACAGAACGCCGGGAAGCAGCGCCCGTGGGCAGCCCAGCAGCCCGCCCTTCAGGCTGGCTTTACATGGGCACCGCCAGCCCAGGCAGCACTGCGCTATCACTTTTCGGCTGGAAATAGCACCAGCACAAGCCCTCAGCTGGGGAGCAGAGCACTTGTGAGTCCAGACTGCGGTTAGCTATCAAAGACAACTAAAAAAAGATATTCCACACATAAGGGCTTTTTTTTCCCTCTCTCTTTTTTTTTTTTTTTCTTCCCCCCCCAAGGATTAAATCAACTCAACAGCCCCCTTTACAACTTCCCTTTTGATGTGTTCAGACTGATTAAAGTTTCATTTCTTTCTCTGTTTTCCCCGGGGGAGGAGGGGGAGCATACACAAAAGTTTACTTCAGAAGCGAGGTTGGCAGCTGCAGCAGCAGCTGCTGGTGCTGTGGGACAAGCGGAGCCTCCGCTGGGCTTCACACCCTGCCCAAATCCCTCGGCAAAACGCATCCTCCCGCAGCTGCCCCGCTCCCACGCGCAGCCCCAGCATCACACCGGCACCATGCTTTTGCGAGCGCTTTCACAGGATGCATGCCTGGGGTCGCACGCCATGAAGCGAGCGGAGCAAGAGCTGCAAAGCTCCTGCAAACCCTGCGAGTTTTAGGGTTCGACCCTGTGAGTTTTCAGGTCCGACCCTGCAAGTTTTTGGGTCTGACCCTGCGAGTTTTGGCGTCCGTTCCTGACCCGCCCGGTTACCCCCCACCGGCAGCACCAGCCTTTCCCCCGCAGCTTCGGCCATCGCCCTGGGATAATCCCCGGCGCACAGCGAACGGTTAGCAGCTCCCCCACATTTCTCTTCTGCCCAAGCAGCTGCTTAAGTGTCTATTTTAAAACTCAGTTCCCTATTTTAAAATAGCTAATGAGACACCAATCTAGGCTGACAGACGTAGTCTCTACAAGGTCCGGGAGATGCTTGTCTATTTGCTAGGCTCCTTTTCCCAGGCCGTGAATTTCAGCATGCCTGTCACGTTTCCGATATGCACAAATAGCTTACATGGTAAAGAGGGAAGTTTTTAATTTAAGGGCCAACTCCTGCACCCCTGCCGTGAAATACCAGCGGTACAGCCACATGTTTCTAGATGGAGACGCATCAACCAGCCACACAGAGGCTGACGTTCTGAGTGGTTTTCTATTGGTATTTTTTATCCTCCTTTTGATTTTATCAGGTCTTTCTAAAATTCACCAACCAAGAGGAGCTGGCCCGCCTGGCACGGCTCCTCACTGCTGCCCAACAAAAGCCAGGCACGTACAAGAGGGACTTTCAGAAAGCAACTGCCCATGGCAGGGTACGGTGGGAGGTCCCCGTGCATTCCCGTGCATCCCCTTTACATGCTCTCGGAGATGGTGTGCGCCCCACCAAGGCAGAGGGGACCCTGTGGAGGGGACCCTGTGGAGGGGACCCAGCGGAGGGGACCCCACTCGCTTACCTGACCACAGGCTCGGGGATGGCCTCGGCGCTCGCTGGCACCTGGACGCCCTTCTCCCACTCCTGCCTCCAGGGATCAGCCAGGACGTAGTACTCGTCAGGGCTCAGCTGGAAGGAGTCAGGGATCTTCATGGCCGTTATCAGATCCGTACGGAAAACCTGCATTGGAGAAAAAAAAAAACATCCAACAGGCAGGGTGAAGGGGTCTGGCAGAGACTGGGTGCACGCACGCCCAGGGAGGGTGCGCTGGGGAAACGGTCCCCAAGGGACAGCGTGGTGGATGCCTGTGTCCCCAACGGCATGGCTTCGGGGTGTCGCTTTATGTCATCTCCGGGGTGAGGTTTGGGCAGGATTCAGGGAGAACAGGGCACGCAGGCAGGGGCTGCCCATGCCTGGCCAGGCAGCACCGAGAGCCCGAGCCCCCACAGCTGCAAGCCCTCCGAGGTCCCCTAGCCCAGGCAGACGCAAAATCCAGCCACAGGGTGCAACCTCGGCCAAGACACAGACCAAAAATTAGTACTAAACTAAAGAAATGGCAGGCTGCTTTCTCTTAGAGGATCAACGTTTAAACATAGTCACACAAATATCTGCTCCAAATGCCAAGGGTCGTACAGCAACTGGGCTTCTCCACGTTCAGACCTGCTGGGGGAAATGATGCTTTCTTTGTTCTTGGCATGAATGAAGCTGCGGGAAACACAGAGCCACCTCATTGCCCCGAGCACCTTCGTGTCCCCACTGCATCACCTCACCGCCCCGAGTGGGGACAGCCAAAAGCAGGAGGCATCCCATCGGGGCTCAACTGCTCCGGTGGTGCTTGCACACCGAGGAGCAAAAGGCAAAATAAAGCCAGGCTGGGTTACGCTACAGCTGGAAAATATCCAACTAAAAGGTGATCTAGGTGCCTGCTTACACATCCCCAGCCGAACACATGGGGTTTTCTCCTGACCCAATAAACCTCCTGTGGGATTGACACCGGACCCCTCCTCTATGAAAATCCTCCAGCCCCTCGTACAGTGAATGGGCTCGTTCTCCATCTCACTTCTGGCCCTGCAGTGTCTTCCCACAATAAACCACGATGAAAAACTCATTCCAAAAAAGTCCCTCACGGTAAATAACGTTTTCCTTCCAGGGGGTTGCCTGACAGCAATGACTCGAGCAATCCTGCCTCTTGCAGCATAAAAATAAATTGTAAATGAGAATGGATGATTTCTCCTCTCTACCATCTGCTGTTAGCTGAGATAACAACCGACGGTGCCAGCAATCATGCCTGGACACCATCTCACTCTGTCCACTCCATCCCTGCTACTTCTGCATCACCTTCTGCGGGGCCGGGACGGATCAGGTGTTTTCCTCAGACACTGTCTAACCTGTTCGCAGAGCCTATTCTCCAAACGAGCATTTGTTTGTCAGAACCACAATAAATGATACAACATGGTTTTACACTTTCGATACAAAGGCAACACGCTTCGGAAAGTATTTGGGAAACCAAATCGGCTGAGATGCAGGAAACTAGACACTAACTAAGACCACTGAGACTACTATTTAGGTCAGTTTGCTTAATCCTCAGAGCCTCAGCTGCTAACCCAATTAGAGTTAAATACAATACATAAACAACCTTTTCTGTGTTGGGACCTCTTTTAATTTTACTGGTACCTTCCTCCTGATGCATCTGCTTGGAGACATTTTTGACTACGTCTGTATAAACCTGATTTGAGTTGGCCAGACACAGTCTCAGCGCATCCTTCAATAAACATAATTAACAGCCTACATATTACAGTCAGAATTAGGCTCAGTTTGAGAAAGATCAGGTTCCTTTAAGTCTCTATGTGCTACAAATGCGTGGTTATAGACGCCCCAGTAACCTTTTAATACGCTGCCAGTGTGAGAAATTTAAAAAAAAAAAACTATTAAGATAGACATTAATTAAGCAAAAGAAGGGATATGTGAGATGTCATAGTCCTTCCAGTGCTGTGTCTGCGTATCAAAACAAGCAAAGTAACCCCGCTGCAGCTCATTTTCTAAAACACAGTGTACAAACAGACCCCGTTCTTGACACCCCTGCATTGCCAGGGCCACAACTCGGGCAAACGGCATCTCCGTTACCCAGTTTCAGTGCCCACCTCCAATGAGGACAATGCAAACCCGAGCGAGCCACCTCGCCTTGGACCACTCTGCTTTGGTGGACAAGATGCTCCCCGCTGCCTGGACCACGCATGGTTGAGGGCAGCATCAGGAGCCAGTGCCACCTCCCTGCTCCGGCCACCAGCACCAGAGCAGGAGCATCGCAGCACATCTATGCCGCTCCATTTCCAAAACTGTTACAGAAAACACTATTTTGGAGACACTCGCTCTTGGGATTCATGGACAAAGCCAGGTAGGAATGGTTTCCAAAGGTGCTGGGCACCCAACAGGTTTTCAAAACTCCCCAGACTGGACCCTGCTGACATGTAAGTGCCCTTCCACCTCCCTCGCCACCAACTTAGTTGCCTCCTGAGGACATCCCCTTCAATGCCACAGGGTTCAGGATCATGGCATCACCCTTTCATGGCACATAAATATACACAATTCCTCCATGAACCTGCCCAGCGTGGTGCTGGCAGTGCAGGCAGGGCCCCGCAGGCAGCACAGGGCAGCAGGCAGCAGGCATGCTTGTGCTCCCACTGCAGGGCACACGACCTGGCAGCCAGCGCACGGGCAGTGATGCGGAACGTGGGACTGCCCTTTCCAGGGCAACTGGCCCCCAGAAAAGTCCAGCCGTGTTGTTAACCTGCCCTGAGAGGTCTCCCCCCTCCCCAGGGCGCTGGGACCCACTGCAGCAGCACCTTTTCCAGAGCCTTAACCCAAAGAGGGATCCCCACTTTTCTTTTGCAAAGGGAGCACCAGGCGACAGCCTGAGAGGTGACGGGCCCCATCACTTCAAGGCAACACTAGGGATGGGTGGCCACGGCGGATTTATGTCAACACCTGGCCCATCACCTTCCTCCTGCCGATGAAGAGGGAGACGGAAGAGTCTGCACTGACATGCCCCACATGTGCAACCAGCCCAGGGAGGAGTCAGCAGCGTGGTTGGGGAGCCCTGGTCCCCCCCCATGCACGAGCAGGAAAGAAAACGGCTCCATCCGATCCTCGTGTCAGAAACCAACCACATATTGCTTTGCTTATAGCTATTAGATAATTTCTTTAGTGCTCTCAGGTGTTTGCTGGGGTCACGGCTTTAGTGGTCAAGGCACCCCAGCAGCATCCCATGGGCAGCTAGCCATGCATCACACGCTGCTCACCACTGCTCTGAACCAGCAAGACCAGCCTCACCCATGCTTTGCAACATCCTCAGCAGATGCAAAAGCCTCCGGCAAACCGCCACGTGTACCTTGCAGCCTCTGCGTTGGAAAACACAGCAATGGGATCAGCCCTTGGTGTAATTTCTCCCCTCTGCATGGTGTGGATCCCAGGCTTGTGTTTTCCTGCATTAAGTCTTCCCCAAATTCATCCCTTCTGGCTTTTCAGCTCACATCGGCGTAGAAGCTTAGTTGTAATTTTAAGCCAAATAAGCACGATTGTATCTATTTCCCTGAAGATGATAAGGCACATCGCAGGCTGGATTTGCAATCTCACTACTTCATTTATTTAGTCCTTCTTGGAAAACAGATAAGCTCACCCATCCAACAGCAGCACACACGCCCGCACTTTATCACAGCGATGCCTCTGTCTTTTCATGAAGAACTGGAAATGCTCAAATTATTAACTATCAAAGCAGAACACTTTAGAAATGATAGAACGGCACAGAAATTGTAAAGGAAAGCAGATCAGTTGTCTGGAAATCTCCCAACAGCTAATACGCTCAAATTGTAATCTAAATGTCTTTTTGTTTTGAATTGTCTGGGATTAGGGTTGGGAAAAGACTCAATTATTCTACTCAAACTCCTCTGAATTATTTATGAAAACCAAATAAAGGATAAATTGGGCACTGATGAACCGAGGACCTGGTGGTGAAGAGGAAGTTGGGTACCAGAAAACAAGTAATTTTCCCTCAATAGGAGTGTTTACTGTTTCTCCCTGTCCGCAGGAGCTGACAAATTGTCTCCAAGGCCAGGCTGCCCCGCTCCCTGCTCTCACCGCCACCGCCAGGCTCTGTCCTCACCTTCCAGCCCGGCAGCGGTATCCAGTTTATTGCCTATTGATCTGCTGGTGATGGGGAAGGCCAAACCAAGATGCGCACTTTATTACCTCTGCTTGCTTGGGAACATCAGGCTGATTTCAGCGATGCTTGGAGATGCATCACACCGATGCCCGGGGCCAGCCTCGCCCATGTGTCAGCTTTAAAGATGGGGAAAAAGAACATGAAATTGCGAAATCCCAAGACATTTTTGCCTTTGTATTTCCAAGAAAGAGAGAACAGGAGCCGAGGTCAGCATGCTCGTGCAGCCTCAGAGCCCAGGCAGGAGATGAAAAAACTAAGTAAACCTCCCTCTCAGTCCCCACTGATCCCACAGCCGCATGGGTGAGCAACGAGGAGTGTTTCACAGCAGGGCATGGCGAGGAAAGGGAAAAACTAAAGGAAGTGTCCAACATTCCCACGGGAGCTGCAGCAGGGAGGCAAATCCGACAGCTCCTGCCAGGGGCTGCACCTCTCGCTCCCCCTCGCCAGCCCCGGCACCCACAGCAGGACCATGCCTGCACCCTATCATGGGTCCCACGGCACCCACCACCGCCTTCCCACACTGCCCACAGAGCAACGGATTACAGCACGCAAAATGCAGGTGTCCCTGGATATTACAGTGATGGACAAAGAGTAAGAATTGGTAAAAATACTCCTGAAGATACCACTCCTCAGCACAAGTGTACCCAACGAGGCAGTAGCAGCAAACCATCAAGCACTGTATGAAAGCAGCAACTGATGCAGCAGTTTCCTTCACCTCCTCTGCCACTGCCATTCCCAAAGCAGCCCATCGGCCTCATGTCTCAGCTTCCCAGCTGGCTTTCCCTGAGCACATCCACATCATTCATACACGAGGTGGCAGGTTAATTCCCAGTGTGATCACACCGACCTCACGTCATGGACCAGGCCCTACCAGAGCAGCCCAAGGAGGACACCAACCTCCCCCCAGCAGCTCAGGCCACCAACACAGAGGTCCTGCTGCTCCAGCTGTCCCACCAGCTGT